ACTAACAAGCCCGTTTTTGCTTAAGGTAGTTTAAGTTGGTTTCTACCACATGAAATCTGGAGAGTTCTCAGCTCAAACTCCTACAGGCTCTCACCCAGATCAAGCCTGTCTGCAGAGCCTGCAGACGTCTGCTCATAACAGCAACAGGGGGGTACCTGAGGAAGGCAGCCTGGCACAGAAGGGCAAAGCCTGGACAGTGGGTCAGGGCTGGGGGGGAGGTGATCTTGAGGGTGGCCCAGCGTCTGCCCTCGGGAGGAGGGGAGCACAACTAGGCAGATGCTTGCCAGCATCGCTGGTGGCAGCCCCAGCTGACACGCAGACATTGGCTTCAGTCCAAGGACAGGGCAGCCTCGACCGCGCACCCCAGCAGGCCCAGAGAAGGGAGTGGTGGGCTCACACATCTGGAAATGTGATGGTGCAGTTATCTGGAGCTGTTGACAGAACCTGAAAGACATCATGGTGTCCTTCTGTATTGGAAACAAGAACTCCCCTGGATAATTAAAAAAATCAGCCTCTTTCCCAGGTCACCTTAGCAGAGCACCAGGAGGCAGTGGTTTCTGGGATGCGCACTATGGGCGAGCGGGTTCTTCAGGGGCCTCTGGATGATGCAAACCGTTAAAACAAAGGAGCAGCCCAAGGAAAGCACTGCATGGGGTCTGCCCAAGAGCAGATTCGGTGCAGGGGGAGGTGAGGACGGAGAGAGGGACGGGCAGCAGGCGTACAAAGCAGCCAACACGGGGGGCGCAGGACGGATGGCCCTGTACTAGTTACCTTCGGCTACACAGCAAACTATCCCAGAACAAAGATACTTAACTCACCCAGTTTCTGAATGATGGGAACTTGGGAGCAGACTTGCAGGCTGGTTCTGGCTCAGGGTCTGGCTCTCGTGAGGCCATGCCCAGGATGACAGCCATGGCTGCAGACATCTGAAGGCCTGACCAGTGCTGGCAGGTGCACTTCCAAGACGTCTCCATCCCATGGGGAGGGCAGGAGGGCCCAGTGCCCTGCCATGTGTACTTGAGGGCAGCTTATGACCTGGCATAAGTTCATGACCTGACTTCCCCCGAGCGAGTGATGACAGAGAGGAGGTTCCATGGTGCCTGATGTGCCTTCAGCTGGTCATGCAGACCGATCTGTTCAGTGTGGCCGGAGAACTACACAGATGCTGTCCATTGGGGTCATCCTGAGGGCTACCAGCACCACAGGCCCCCAAGGGAAAAATTCATAGATGGCCTGGTGTCTTCAAAGAGGTCTGTATTTCCACTGCAGGCCTTGGGGATAAATAAGTAATAGGTACATAGAAAATAAATCAAACCCAAAACATGAGGCAATCATTAAGTCCAGGAAAAACAAGAGGTTGTATAAGAAAGGAGATATAATTACAGTATGTTAGCAGCTGTGGGCAGTATATGCAAAGAAATAATGCAAACGTTGAATCTGATTCAACCAGTGAGGGAATGGGTTCAAGGAAAAGAATGTGAGAGTATGTGAGTGTGAGAGTGAGTGTGGGTGGGCAGGTGGAGTGTAGGGGAGGGGCCATATATGAGAGAAAAACCCCAACAGCAGAAAGTCGATGGATAATTTCTAAATCTGACAAAAAAGGAACAAACGGAAGGGGCGATCAGGAAAGGAAAGGGATAGGTGACGGGCTGCTGGTTCTTCGTGACAAATCTATATAACTATTCCGCTGTTAAAACGATGTACTTTCATGACTGACTTAAAAACACAGGTGAAATTCAAGTTACTAAAAAGCAGGAACACTCCAGCCTGCTTCCTGCTTCCAACTCTCCCCAGGGAGCGCCTCCGCTTCCCGGGCAGGACCCCCGTGCCCTCGGTCTCGCCCTCGCTCAGCCGCCCTCTCGGAGCTGCTTCAGGTCTGCTGGCCTGTCTTGGAGGGCATCTTCCTCCAGTAGCCCACCTCTCACCTCCCCTGCCTTCTTTCTCAGTCTGCTCCCCGTTGGGTGGGGATGGGACAGAGGGGGTCCAGCCCTGTCCATGAGCAGCAGCTGGGCCCTGGGCCTCTGGCTGCACTCCCCACGCGGCCCCCACAGCCACCCACGGTGGTAGAGAATTGGGGCAGTTGCTCTTGCTTCCCAGGGAGGTGAACTGGGGATAGTGGGCCGTGCTCCATCATTCCCGCGACGCGTCGCCTAATTACCCGGCTTGCCATTCGTCTGGATGTCAGCGCTGCCGCAAGCTGGTGCCTGTAATTAACCTGGTAGAACTCCACGCCGGGCCTGGCTGGAGCAGGGCAGGAGGGGCTGCTGCGGGGGCCAAACCTGGGGCGGTGCGCCGTGGGGCAGGGACCCCCGCCTCCAGCCAGTGCAAAGCCCTTGGGCTGTCCCCTGTAGGCCATGGAGCCTCAGGGGAAGCCCCTTCCATGAGTCAGGAACACAGCCCAAGGGGTGGGTGTGCACGAGTGACTGGGGCCTGAATCCGGGATTGGCTTCCCTGGCGCCCGGGCTGGCCCAAGGGCCCTGGAGGGTCAGGATCCCAGGAACACAGGGGAAGGGGTGAGGTGCGGTCAAAGGGCCTGAGGAGCCTGGCTCAGACCCAGGTGCAAACTGGACAACACCTATGGCCAGAAGATGGGAAGCAGAGAGGCTGGGGTCCCCAACGTGGGAGTCCCGAGGTGCCTGGGTGTGACCAACCTTGGCCAGACCCCCGTCTTGGGAGCCTCTCACTCGCAGCCGCTGGGCAGGGTGGGGGCCTGGGGAAGGGGAGCAGAGGCTGCCAGGCTAATAGGAACATCTATTTGGGTCTGCCTTGAATTATTGAGTGCTTCAAGGCTTATTCTTGGCTCTGGGGCAGGCTGTGGTCTGCGGTGAAGGACATCATCTCAGCCCTATTTCTAACGTTCTGTGCGAAGGGGCCAAGACGTGACAGCACTTATGGGCCCTGCTTGCCCTTCTGTACCAGGAGGAAGGAGCAGGGTAGAGCCCTGGGCATGAGGTGGGGCTGGGGGAAGGCAGGAGGTACCACCCCGCAGCCTCACCCCCACCACCCCACTGTCTTCTGGGTCTCCCACAATGACCCCAGCTGGCAGGTCCCCATTATAGCCCCTTCCAGTTGCTTCTGTGCCCTGTCCCTCCACCTGACCCTCCCAGTCCAGCCCACCCTGACCCCTGCACCCCACTCCCAAGCCTGACGCCCTCCCAGAAGCCCTGTGCTCTTGGCAAGCCACTGAAACACACCACCTCTTTGTCGCGTCTCCAATTTGGGCTGGTGCCTTGGTGCGGCCACCAGCCAGGGCAGAGGGCCCAAGGCACCCCACACGACTGAGGGTTTTCTTCCTTGAGGCTGTAGCCAAAACTCCTGTTTCTTTAAGACTCAGGCCCCATGCCACCCCCAGCCATCTATGCCAGGCTAACCTCCCCACCTTCCCCTGTTCAGCCCACCTAGGGTAATACACAGCCTTTGCTGGCCTTCAACTGCTCCCCTGAGGTCAGGCCCTCAGCTGAGGATTTAGTGGGGCCCTAATCCGTTTCTGCACCTTTGGGGGCCTGTCTGCTTGGGCAGAGCAGGAAGCTCTTTAAGGCTGATGGAGATTGAGCTCCGACCCTATAATCTTGCAGGGGACCCTGCCTTCCCACTCCCACTTGGAGCCAGGGTCACTGCTGGGGCATCGTGGGGGTAAGGAGAGGGCTCCTAGAAAACACTCACAACCAGACTCACCCAGAAAAAGAAGATACAGATTACTAAAATCGGGAAGGAGAGTGGGACATTAGCACCAACTTTACAGAAATAAGGAAAGTGCCACGAGCAGCTGTATGTGGACACACCAGATAATTCGGATGAAATGGACACATTCCTAAAACACACAAACTACCAACTGACTGAGGAAGAAACAGAAAATCTCCACAGACTTTTAACAAATAAAGAGATTGAATCAGTCATTCAATCTCTTTATTTGTGATTCAATCAGTAAACCCTCCCAACAAAGAGAATCACGAGCGAGATGGCTTCACCGATGGATTCTACCGAAAGTGTAAACGAGGGTCAACAGCAGGGCTCCTCAACCTTTTCCAAAAAACAGAAGAGACAGTACTTGCTAACCATTCTATGAGGCCAGTATTAGCCTGATACCAAAGCCAGTCAAAGACATCACAAGAAAACTACAGACCAATATACCTTATGAATGTAGATGTAAAAACCTTAAAAAAAAAATACTAGCGAATCCAACTGAGCAGCACAGTAAAAGGACTGTAACACCATGACCGAGCGGGATTTACCCCAGAAAAGCAAGAGTGGCTCAGAATCAGTGTGATGCGCCATACGAACCGGACAAAGAAACAACGATCAGTTCAATCGGAGCAGAAGCAGCTTGTGGCAAACCCAATGCCTTTCATCACAGAAGTACAGAAAAACTAGGAACAGAAGGAACTTCCTTCAACCTAAAAAGGGGCACCTGAAAAACCCACAGCCAGGATCATACTCAGTGGTGAAAGACGGAGACTTCCCCCTAAGGTCAGGAACAAGACAAGGATGCCCGCCCTCCCCACTTCTGTTCAACACTGTACTCGGAGTTCCAGTCACGGTAATAAGGCAAGGAAAAGAAAAAAAAGGAATCCAGACTGGAGAGTAGGAAATTAAAGAAAAGTTCTACTTGCACATGACATGCTCTTATGTGTAGAAAACCCTACAGATCACANTACAGAAAAACTAGGAACAGAAGGAACTTCCTTCAACCTAAAAAGGGGCACCTGAAAAACCCACAGCCAGGATCATACTCAGTGGTGAAAGACGGAGACTTCCCCCTAAGGTCAGGAACAAGACAAGGATGCCCACCCTCCCCACTTCTGTTCAACACTGTACTCGGAGTTCCAGTCACGGTAATAAGGCAAGGAAAAGAAAAAAAAGGAATCCAGACTGGAGAGTAGGAAATTAAAGAAAAGTTCTACTTGCACATGACATGCTCTTATGTGTAGAAAACCCTACAGATCACACGCATGCACAGACACACAGCGGAGCTAATGAAGGAGCACAGAGAAGGTACAGGATACAAGACGCAAAGTCGATTGTACTTTTATACATTAGCAATGAACCCGACAATGAAATTTATAATGAAACAATTCCAGTTACAATAGCATCAAAAAGAATACAAAGTGTAAACAAAGGGTATACAAGACTTGCACACTGGAAACTTCAAATCATTGTTGGAACGAACTAAAGATCTAAACAAAGGAGAGAGAGACCCAAATTTGGTGATTTCGACTCATGACAGTTAAGACAGCAGTGCTCCCCAAATCGATCAGTGTGATCCCCAGCAAAACTCCAACTGTTTTTGCAGAAATGGACAAGCTGGTCCTAAAATTCATGGAATTGCAAGGCACCCCAAATAGGATATACAAAGATGAACTCAAAATGGGTCAAAGATATAAATGCAAGGGCTGAAACTATAAAACTCTTAGAAGGAGATCTTTATGACCTCGGAACAGGCAATGGTCTCTAAGTAAGACAGCAAAGCACAAGGAACGGATGAAGAGACACAGTGGACTCCGGCACATCGGGGAACTTGCAGGTGTCAGAGGACACAACCAAGAATATGAAAAAAACTCAGAAAGCAGAACATATTTGCATATTATGTAACTGAAAAATTCTGATATCCAGAGCACATAAAGAACAAACAGTTCAATAAGAAGGCAAAGTACCCAGTTTAAAAGAGGGCAAAGGATTTGAGATCTGTCTCCCATGAAGACGTACAATGGCCAATAAGCACATGAAAAGGTGCTCAACATGTCATTAGGGACATGCAAATCATATCGCTTCACACCCACTAGGATGGCCAGAGTCAGACACATGATAACAAGTGTTGACAGAGGCGTGGAGAAACCTGCGCATTGCTGGTGGTTGTAAAGGTGCATCTGGAGTGGAAAACAGTGTAGCTGTTCCCAAAAGGTAAGCACGGAGCTACCACAGGACCAGCGATCCACTCCAGGCATACAGCTAAGAGAACTGAAAACATACATTCCCACAAAAACCTGTGCATCAGGGTTCAGAATGGCGTTATTCCTAACAGCCCCACACAGAAACCACCCAGATGCCCTCCCATGGACGACTGGAGAAACAGAATGCAGTGCGTCCATACAAAGGAGTCAATATTCGGCCAGGAAAAGCGAAGCGCTGGTAGGTGCTAGAACATGGATGAATCCTGGGAACAGTGCTGGAGAGGCTGGACCCGCAGGTCGCACACCGTGTGACTGTCCCGGGGAGGCCTGAGTCTGCACGGCCACGAGGCAGAAGCCCACTGGTGGGGCCGGGGTGCAGGTGGGGATGGGGTGTGATGGCTGACCGGACGAGTAAAAGTTCTGAAATTGGACAGTAGTGATGGGTGCACAAGATTCTGAATATATTAAAACCCACTAAACTGTACACTTAAAAACATGGTGACTTTCGTTAATGTGATTTAAACCTCAGAACAGAAACTACTCGTGTCTGCTCTGCCTGCCCTCACTGAGGTGACCTCTGGGAGCTGTGAACAGCACCTCTAAGCAGGACCCCACCCCCATCCCTGTGGGTGGCTGTGGCCAAGCCCGCACGCCGCTGGTGGGGCTCCCTGCAGGGGCTGCTGCAGACACGGCGCGAGCGCCCAGCACCCCTGGGAAGCTCTCCTGTTAGCGTGGGGGGCGGGGCCGGGAGTCACAGTCCTGCCCGTCCAGCCCTTCCGGGACCTGCATTCTGGGGCCAGGAGGCATGAGGAGCTTGGTAGAAGAGGACTCCACCTCCCGTTCTTCCTTCACCCCTGGCCCTGTGGACCCCACTTCACACGCTGTCACCTCCCTTCTCAAGGACCCCGGCGCACCCATTCCACGCAGGAAGACTCCTGTCTGGTGAGGTGGGACAGGTGTCCCCATCGGAGGTGTGCCCAAAGCCAGCTGGTAGAGGTGGCCGCCCTGCTCACTTGTGCCCCTGCTTCTCCCAGGGGCCCAGTCCCTGAGGAGCACCCATTCCTGTCACGAAGGGAAGGAGAAAGGCCGGAGAGGGGCGCAGAGAGAGCACAGAGACCACCTCAGGCTGGCAAACATGACGACCGACTCCTTCTTGAGGCAGGATGAATGGCAAAGTCCTCTGCGACTTCATCATGCTTCTCAGTAGGTCCCAGAGTCCTTAGGGAGCCCTGGGTCCCAGGGATCAAGCTGGCGTGTGCAGGGGCCGGGGGCGTCCCCGTGGGTGGTGTAACCAGCATGTCCTCAGGGCCTGGGCACTCCACCTGCTGCCATGGGGGCAGGGTCCCGGCCTGACAGACGAGCCCCCAGGCCTACTGCCGAACAGGGGACGCGGGGCAGCCTGTCTTCGTGGCGTCCAGCTTTGCTCCACCCGTGCCCTTGTCCCGCGACTCCTGGGTGCTGTGGCCCTCGGGAGGCCTGCCTTCACCTGTGGCCTCTTCTGAGCCTCCCTTGGGGCACACTCCCCTTGGGTTCTGCGCCTTCTGGCTCCTGATAATGAAATGGACAACGGGCAGCATCAAACACAAGAGCTAGCCTGGGGCCCCCTCATGCCCAGGTGGTCCCCGAAGCAGCCACTAAGCTGACCCTCAGAGGCTGCTGACGGCCCAGGCCAGAGGGCCAAGCAGAGCCTGACAGTCAGGGGCTGCGTGCACTCTTTCCAAGGGCCCCTACTCCTGGGGGCGTCTTAGGTCAGAGGCACACCATCCCCCCATTCTCAAGGCAGCTCAGCCAGGCTTTGGACGGCCACCGGCTTGCAGGGAAAGGCCCCCCTCGGGATGGCCCATGGTGGGAGGCAGGCATGCAGACTGCCAGCCAGGTGTCTCCAGCTGCCCTTCGCTCAGGGAGCGGCAGGCAGGTCAGAGGCCAGGCTTGGCATCCCATTAGCGCCCTGTGCCTGTTTCCAGCTGGGGAGCCCAGCACCCGCTCGTGGCAAGGTGCCATCAGACTAATAACCAGTCGTTGCTCCCGAGAGCCTGGGAGGATCCCGGTGCCTGCCCACCGATGAGGAAGTGAGGGCCAGCGACAGAGCCGTCAGGCAGAGCCAAGGTGTATTCCCACATCCTGTCTGTGGAGCCCAGCCCCAAGCCCTGCAGGTGAGGGGACCAAAGCAGGCAGGACAGCTCTGTGGGTTTCTAGAGTTCCCACTGGACACTGACTGCACCCGGGTCCCCGGGATCCTGCTGGTACAACTCTCCTGTCCCTTCAGAGACTGTGCATCCCCTGCCTGGCCCTGCACGTCCGCCCTAAGCCACAGGGCCACAGCAAGGAGAGGCTGAACCACTAGGAATGGCCCACACGGGAAATACTGGGGGGACTCCTAACCAAGTTCCCAGCCTCCCGCCATGCTCACCTCTCTTGTCCTGGAGTGGGGGCCCTGGGGACTCCCAGGGTCCTGCGGATGTAGTCTCGGGAGCGGATGTCGGCCTGGGGAGAGGAATGGCTCCCATAAGAGGGGGTGGCTGGGGTCCCGAGGTGGCCTCCAGACCAGCCCCCACCTGAGCAGCCTGGTGCAAGCCCCCTGCTCCCCCCTGAGAACATCCAAGGCGGCACCGCCAGGCCTGGCCCTCAGGACAGGGAGCACAGCCCCACGGGGTGCGGGCAGGGGCTCTGAAAGGCCCGAGGGAGGGAAGGAGGCGGGGTCCTGGGGCGCCTCCGTCTCAGCTGGGGGTGCCCAGTGTCTGGGCTTGTAGCCCGTGCTTCCTGTGATTTTCTTCTCTAAACCCTCTTCCCAGGGCTCTCCTCAGCCCGCTGGTCTGTCTTCACCTTTGGCTCCTCCTGTCTCCCTGCTCCTGTCAGCGGAGACCCCGCCCCAGGACAGCATCTACGGAGAGTCCTGCAGGGCCACCGGGATGAAAGGTGCTCTGGGCCACAGGCTGGCGTCTGAGACAAGGGGCTGGGGTAGGAGCAGGGACCTTGCTGTCCAGGCTCTTCCACACTGAGGCCTCCTGGGGGCCTGGCCACTCCCACTGCACAGGGGCTTAGCACCCTCTGGGCCACAAGACTACAGGACATACAACTAATCCTGCAGATGCTGTGTTGGCATGGATGGGCAAGCGGGCAGGGGACAGTGGGACACTGTGCTGGGAAGGCAGCCCCGGCAGTGGGAGGCAGCACCTTTCTGCAGCCTGTGCCATCTTAGAGAGCTGGGGCCTGCCGGTAGGCCCCCTCGGCGGACCCACAGGTGCCAGGGAGAGAGAGCGGGCCCCACCCACTCCCATTCTCTCCTGGGAGCTCCTGGAACAGGAAGGCGGCATTGACAGGAGAGCAGGCCCAGGAAGAAAACAGACCAAGAGAAAGCCAGGGCTGCCGGACAGGCTCACCTCACTGCTGATGTGAGGGTGGGCTGCAGGCTCCTGGGCACAGGTGGCTGGCTTTTGGCAGGCCCTTCCCTGGGGCTAGACACATGGTCTGTACTGGCATTCAGATGCCCAGGCACTTTATAGGCCATTCCCCACCGGCAAGGATGGAGGGCAGAATGGGGTGTGGAGAGGACTGACCCAGCACAATGGGGCCGCTTACTCCGAAGGACTGGGGAGCGTTCTTGGGTTTCTCCCTTAAGGTCACACAGATGGAGGGAATGGGGGAGGGCAGGGCTTAGGGGGTGGGGACGCAAGTCACAGGCTTTAACACCCATGCACCTCAGCAGAGTAGGGCCCTGGGTGGAGGCTGAAGCGGGCAAGCGTGCAGGCTGCTGCCACCTAGAGGCGGCCCTGCACACCAGCAGCCCGGAAGACCCCGAGCCCCCAGAGGTGGGGTCGGATGCTGGTGGCAGGGCAGTGGGGCTTCCTAGGGTGGCAGAATCAGAGCAAGGGCCATCGAGTTTCCCAGGTTACCAGCTGGTGCTGAGCTGGGCGGACTGGTTCTCAGCAGTGTGGCCGTGACCTGCCCAGAGCTGAAGCGGCACAGGCTTCGAAAGATGGGGAGCTGTGGGCACCAGGGAGATCTCCGGACCCTGCCTCCCACCCCACAGCAGCCCAGCTCTAAGCCAGGGTCCCAGGCTCGGCTGCAGAAACCAGCGCCACTTACCTAGCTAGCCGGCTCCCCAGCTCCCCGGATGAGTGCAGAGCCGTGCCTGGGGCAGGGCCCATACCCAAGGTCCCTGCGGAAGGCCTGAAGGCGCAGCGCCCCCACTGTGCTCACAGGCTCCCCGCAGCCTGCCCTGCCCCACCTTGGCCCTGGCCACACCCTCTTTTGGGTTTCTGGGCCTCAGTCCTTCCTGCCCTCCCCTCTTCCTCCAGCAGGTCTCTTCCTAAGACTCCGTGGGCTTCTCAGGGACATGCACCGCCCATGGCTGGTCACCCCCGCAGGCTGAGCTCCAGCTCCGCTGAGCCGACTCTGTCACCAGAGTTCTGACCCCTGGCCTATTTAGTTGCTGGGTGACTATGTGCCACACCCCAGAGGCTCCGGAAAGACACACTGATGGTTCCGGCACACGTCCTCCTCAGCACTGCCCAGCGGCCCTGCAGGGGCTGCCCAGCAAAGGGCAGCTGCTCCCCCTGACGCCAGCTGGGCAGGGCAGGCCCTGAGGGACTGGCTGGGGGCTGGCAGGATGCTGTGCCACCCATGCTGTCCGCTGGCTTTCCCAGTGACCTGGTACCTGCTGCAGTAGGCTGGGAGGCTGAGCGCAGGAGCACGGTGGAACCTCAGGCCCTGGCAGGAGCCCCCAGGAGCTCTGCTTCCTCAGTCCTCCCCGGTCCCAGCTTGGCCCAACCAGGCTCTCCCACAGGTGCTGGTGCAAAGGAAGACGAGGGGGTGTGGCGGCCACCCACCTGCCGCACAGGCTCTGGAATCCGGAACTTGCAGCACCCTCGGGTCAGGCGCACAGCTGCCTCCAGGCTCACCTTGTGGCCCACAGAGACATAGAGGGGCTTGGTGCTGTGGTCATGGCTCTTCAGGGCCTGGGACAGCAAGGTGCAGTCAGGATGCTGGGGAACAAGCCCTGAGGGCTGGAGGACTGCAGGCCCCGGGGCAGGGTGGGGCGTGTGCTGCCCTGAGGCCCCCTCAGCACAGCCAGGGCTGGGGAGCCAATAAAGGCCCAGGACACACCTGGGCCACAGTGGCCGGGAGATCAGGTGGGCACGTGCCAGTACGTGTGTCTAAGGGGCCTGCTCACCATGCCCAGGATGGTCCCGGAGCCTCCCATCAGAGGAAACGTGTCTCCCCCAGCTCGTAGAAGTCGTATCTAGAAATAGGGAAAAAACTTGGAAAAACTATTTTCTTGGTGAAGGGCTGAAGGCACACCTGTTGGTTTTTAAAAGCTGAGCAGCCTGGTGCCCTGCTCATGCCCATCCCATAAGCCGACTCGGAGTTCGGGGAGCCGCCCCACCCGGCACTGGCCACCTGACAGGCCCTTGGAGCTTGGCTCTCTCCTCCATGCTCTGGACAGGGAGGCAGGGCCTGCAGGAGGGGCGGCAGCCTGCCCAGGCCACGTGCTGGTCAGGGATGGCCCCAGGCTCCTCCCCTGGGGGCCAGGCTGGGGGACAGGCAGGTGCAGTCTGGGGGCCGGAACCCCTTCCCGCTGCTTTCTCTCCAGTTAGCAATTCGGGCATTTTGATTCGACCTAACATTTTTAGGGGGTGGGGAGTGGCCCACTGACGGTTTGGTCTGGGGTCTCTGTTAACAACTGCTCTTGCAGACACAGGATGGCCCAATGGGTGAGACAGACATGGTCTGTGTGTGGCACCAGCTCCCTCCTGAGCGGGGTGTCACATTCCCAGGGCCAACCTTGGGGCTCAGAGGAGGGAAGTGCCAGGAGGTGGGGCAGGAAATGAAGGCTGGGTAGATGGTACCTCACCTGAGCAGGGGCCAGGGGGCTGGGGCGGGTTAAAGGACTGAGCACCAGGTAGGCTCCAGAAGGGAGAGGAACTCGGAAGGTGCCCTTCCAGCCACACAAATCTGTCACCATGCCCTAACCCCCTGGGAGCCACAGGGAGTGGGTCAGGGACCCAGGGAGTGCCAGCAGGAAAGGACTGGACCAGAGGTTCCCCACAGGGCAGAGCGCCCCCTCTGGGCCTGGGTGCCCCAAGCCCCACCTTGGGCAAGACGTTAGGACCCCTCACCTTCTCCTTGTGCAGGGCGTTGTTCTCCAGCCCATCCACCTGCAGCAGTTTCTTGGCCACCCCGACACAGGGCAGGTCTGTGAGGATGCCGAGGTGGCAGGCCACCCCAAAGCCTACAGGGGCAGACGAGGGTGAGGCTGGGGCAGTGGGGTGGTGAGCCAAGCAATCTTCTAGAGGTGGTGTGGGGACTGGGGACAAACCAGAACCTGCTCAGTTTCCCGAATGAACAGAGGCCTGTCGGCAGTCCAAGGGCTGGGGAGCCTGGACTGGAGGCCCCAGCCTGCTCTTGGCCGTGGCCCCTGCCCCAGTTTCATGGTGCCAGGCTGGGGCACAGGCTGCCTCCTCTCTGATGAGTTAGGAGCCTAACTAGAGTGCTCACGATGCTTCACTCCACTTCCTCTGTCATTTTCTGCCCCTTGCATCCTCTTTCCCTTTGTGGTTGCGGGTGGGCCTCTCTGTTCCCTGCCTCCCCCCCACCACACACCAGGACCCCTGCCAGGCAGCCCACACTGCAGGGACTGGGGCCCTGGCCCAGGGCTGGCCCGCTGGTCCTGGATGGCATCCCGGGCAGCACGTGTCTGTCCCGTGGCCCTGGACCCAGGGGCTCTAAGGCATGGCACCACCCCTCCCCACTCCCTCTGGGGCCTCCCTCCCTCCCTCAGTGGTCCTCTCCCCGGCCGAGGTGCTGGCACCCAAGCAGGAGGTACAGGCCCATGTCAGTGTGAACGGGCACCCGTCTGCTCCTGGCTGGTCTGGGGCAAGGGCGCAGGGCAGGCAGCTGGTGGGACCGGCTAGCTGGGCGTGGGGCCCTGTGACTTCTGGTGTTGGTCAGGTCCAAACTGGCAATGGCTCCTGCGGTGGGCCAGTGCCGGGTGCTGGGGGAGGCCAGAGGGCAGGCAGGAAAGAGGCGGGGCGGAAGAGAAGCAGGCTTCTTTACTGGGTGGGTCCTGACGCAGGGCACAGGGGTCCGTGGGGGTGGTCAGAACCACCTCCATCCCAGTGTCTTTCCCACAGCCTCTGGGGCCCTGTCTTTCAAGTGCAGGATTACCTCGGTGGTGGAGCACACCGTTTCCATCCACAAGAAGGACCTGGAAGAGCCGCGGGGGAAAGTCAGTCAGCTTGCTGTCCTTTGCCCATCAGGCCAGGACGTCCTGAAGGAGGAGGGGTGGCCCTGCCATTTCTGGGGCCCAGCTTTTTGGGAAATCTTAGCCCTCTCCCTCAAGGCAGAAGTGCATTTCTGCAGGAAGCTCAGAGGCCCCTCTCCCCATGGACGCAGTTGAGGTACCTGCCTGGGGCATGAGGTGAGGCTCCCTCTCCTGCAGCCGCCGCACTGCGTCCACCAGGAAGGGCACCTCTCGGAAGGCCAGGAAGCCTGACATGTAGGGAGCCGTCAGGCTAACCATCCGGCAGTCCTCGTACACCACCTGTCACCGGGCGCCTGGTCATGGACAGCACGGTCCTCTGCCCTTCAACCATGAGTCCTTTTCACTACCACGTCCTCTCAGCTCCTAGGCCTGCCCCGGGGCCCTCACCCCTCCTCACCTACCCAGAGGAAAGTACACGGACAAGGTGGCCTGCCCTGCAGATGGGCTGAAGCCGCAGCCATTTCAACGGTGCCCCCCACACCTCAGCCAGACCAGACCCTTCTGGGGTGCCCCCTTTGTACATCAGAGCTGACACCTGCCCTCCACCCCCATGACTAGAAAAGGCCAGGTCTTCAGAGAGGAGGCAACGAGAAAGGCGACCCCAGCTTTATGAAGAGACTTCAAGTACTTCAGGAAAGGACAGGCCTGGCGCCAGAGCTAGACAACCCGAGAGAGAACAGGGAGCCCGAGGGATCGGAGAGCCTAGAAGGGTTAAGTTCAGGGCCACGACTGCGAGAGCCCCGGGGTGTAGGGGCGGGTGCCCCGGTGATGGCATTCAAACTCCCACCCAGAACCCCTCCCTGCAGGGGGTCTACGTGTCCCTAAAAGAAGGGAGTATGTCCTCTTAGGGTGCAGGCCAGTCTTCTCCTTCCAACATCTTTTATCAAAGTCACCAGAAACTTATCAAACTGCCAGCTCCCGAAGTGGCAGGGTCTCATCTGACGACGGACGAGAGAGTCTGACCCACAGGGACCCCAGCAGGCTGGGGCGCCAGACTCCACACAGGGCGACTGTTCACAGGGACACATGGGACACTCAGGGGTGGCCTGCGTTCTCAGAGGACGATGACGGCAGATCGCATCAGTCTTGCACAAGCTCCAGAGAGCAGACATCCACAAGGGGAGGAGAAAAACCCCCAACCCCATGCCAGTGTAAGCGTGTTACGGACGCACCTATGAAGGGAAATAAAAGCCCGGACGAGCAGAGCCAACCCCAGACTGCACTGGGCTGGCAGGCATGGGATGGGCGAGGTGGGGCGGGGGTGATGGGGCCTAGTGGTGAGCCTGCCGCAGTGAGACCTGGGGGGCGGCCCCCGCAGGGGGGCCTAGAAGAGAGGCCTGGAAGTACACTGAGCCAACAGCAGCCTTTCTCAGAAGAGGCTGCTTCTGGGGAGGGGCAGCTGAAGCCTGGAGGGTGGCAGTGAAGCGAGGCCAGGAAGTGTAACGTCCTTCAGGAACAAGAGTGTCAAAGAACCGGAGACACGCTGGCCATCTTCTCCTCTGAAAAGGACACTGTTTGTTGGGGTGCCTCACTTCACTGTCCTTCATGATCTCAGACACCCAATAAGCCACCCCAAACCCAGCCCTCTGGTTTAAATACAGCTCAGTGAGCAGCGAGGTCGCGCGCCGCCGCAAGAGTTCAGGTGGCGAGGCCACAAATGCGACGGCTGGCAGATGCTGCCCACCCAGCGCCGACGTGCAGCAGAGGAAAACGACGCTTAAACAAGTGGCATATCAAGAAGAAAACAAGGCAGAAATTCAAAACTCAGAACAGAAACGGACAAAAAAACCTGAAAGAAAACCCAGCATGCATACAACTGAAGGCAAACGAAACTCGGGAGTGAACTAATACTCAGAACCATGACCCGGAAACACTCAAGGAGTGAAAGAGCTGATGCCCCAGAGTCAGCAGACTGTGAGCTCGGGGAGGCCGACTACGGACACTCAGCTCAAGACGCATCTTAGCTGCGTGAAGGGTAAAGAAGTCAAGCACCGTACTGGGCGAGAAATGAACCAGCCCACAGTAAACATGACCAAAAAACAACAGTGGACGTAACACAGAATATGTTAAAATTTACATATCAGAAAACCAGACGAGGCCAGCTTTCAGACATGGGACAGTCGGGAAAGTGTGACATGGAGTGGGGTTATGGCTTTTCTGAGGTGATGATGACGCTGCTGTCACGCAGACGGATGTTCTACATTCTGCGGACAGGCCAGTTGATTTGCTCAAGTTTGCTGTCACACCCTCAAGAAGACACCCAAGCTGTTCGGGACACGCACAGAAAACCGACAAAATTCAGCAGCTGAAGCTAAGCTGAAGGTCTAGAGCATTCAATGTTATTCTTTCAATTTTTCAGTACGTTTACACATTTTTTAAGTTAAAAATCTGGGAAAAGAAAAAATCAGTTGTGCAATTAGCATCTGGATGGTTAGTAATCTCCATGAAGATCTGCAGGCTCCAACCGAAGTCAGCCATGTGGTGCCCCTAAAAACTGTCTTAAGCTGCACTTACAGAAATGCATGTGCATGTCAGGCCCACGTGATGTACACACGAGCCTTACCAACCAAGAGGACAGCAGAAGTACAGAGGTGAAGGAGCTGGAGTCACACTAGCAAGACTCTTAGGACGGGGCAGACAAGAGGGGGCACTGTGCAGACAGTGGGAGGTCTGCTCCGTGCTCTGCTGCCGTACCCAGAATCGGCAGGTAGAAGCCACACACACTTCAGCTCCGTGCTAACCAAGAGTCCAGTTATGGAATGGGCTCTGCTGTAAGGCCACCATTTGTCAGGGATGCTGAGGATGCTGCAGGGAAGGCAGACCAGCGATTACCAGCCTGGCTTTGCTTTGCAATCATAGGGAGGCTTGCTTAGAAAAGCCAAATCCCAGGCTTTACACTGGGGGATTTTTTTTTTTTCCTGCAGTAAAGGTGGTGGGGCTCTGCAATCTTTTTTTAAAACAATTTTGAGATATAATTTACTACCATAAAGGTCAGTTGTGTGAAATATGTAATATTTTGATATTTACAGCTGAGCAACCATCACCACAATCTACTTGTAGGAGGTTTTCATCACCCTCAATAAACCTTGTAGGAATCTGTGTCTCTAAATGCATTTCCTGGTGACTCGGTTGCACAGATCCACAGTTGGGCGACCTGAGAGCCATTGGACCAGACTCTTTAACCCTGTCACTTTAATACAATATGAGAAGTGACTTCAGGGCACATACAGGGGCCCAGGGCAGAGTGAGTGGCGGTTAATTCTGCAGCTAAGGAAAGGCACAGCACGGGGGGACATGGGCACTGGGCCCCAACAGGTGGAGACGGAGAGCGGCTCTGTTCATGTACTGAGGGCTTGGCAAGGGCCAGCTGTGCACATTGCTTTCTGTATCTGACCCCATTTATTCCTCACAGCTCTGGACTGGGTATCAATACTGAGGTCACCCCTGAGTCAGAAAAGGGGAGATGGAGGCCAGGGGCTGGGGGTGGGGTGGGGAAGTGGGAGCGGCAAAGCCGAGGCAGGAGCCCAGGCAGCGTGGCTGTCAAGTCTGTGTCTCTGCCCCCAACACGGCTCTATAAACTGACCAGGGACCTGGCAGGGCAGCAGCTCTGGCTCCTTCACCACCTAGATCCAGATTGTAGCACACAGCAGGTGCTCAGGACATTCGTGCTGAATTTTGACTAAAGATGCCCTCCAAGTAAAGTGCAAAGACATGGAAGCAGGGAGATGCCATCTTTGGGAGCTGGCAGGGCAACAGAGCAGGAGAAACTGAAGCTTTGGAGCAGTTTTCCTTCTCGAGCTCTTCTTTAGCCAAGGTTTCCTGAGCTGTGCAGCCAAAGGAATCGCAGGCATATGTTTGTTCACTTGCACATATATTCAAGTGTGTTCTATGTGTCAAGCATTGAGCTAGATCCTAAGGCTACAAATGGTGGGCAAGATAACATAATTCCTACCATCACGAAGTTTACTTCTGGTAGACAGACCAGCCAATTCCATCCTGGTGCAATAAAGGGGAAAGAGAGGGTGCTGGGAACAGCTACTGGTCTTACAGGGCAAGGGGGTGAGCTTACTGGAGGACCCAAGAGATGAGCAGGGGTTAGCTAGGTGAGGAATATTCCAAGAGAGGTAACGTGGTTGCAAAGGTCAGGCAGGCAGATACAGCATGGCATGTTTCCAGAATCCTAAGTGCTGTGTAGTCCGGGGAGAAGAGTGGAGTGTGGAAGGTGGAGCCTATAGTGTTACATTAGGCAAGGTCAGATCGTGAAGGACCCTTACACTTGTCAATGAGGGTGACTTTTATTTAGGGAAGCCACTGGACTGGTCAGGTGGTCACATCTGCTTTTTAGGAAAATCCCTCTGCTGGCAGCATGGAAAAGGAACCACAGGGCAATCCCAGAGGCAGGGAGCCCCCTGAAGATTCTGCTGATCACCTACAGGTGGGGTAATGATGGCACAGCCGGGAAGGGGGCATCGAGGATGCAGCCTCTAGCAACGTTTAGGACAGAGAAAAATGGAGCTATGTGTTACTGGACACGTGGGGTCTGGGAAGACAGAGATCTGCCGCTTGGGCAACTTGGGGGTGCGCAGCTGCGGGTCACTGAGGAGGGGAGCCCAAAGTGACCATCAGCTTTAAGTGAAGATCGAGGGTTAATTCAAACTTAAGTAGCAGAATCTCCTTTAGTTTCTGCCCGCCCCACCCTCTTCCCGAAATCCTGCAAAAGGAGAAGCCGAGTTCTACCCGGGCATCGTTCCCGGCGCCGGAGCCCCGCCCGGCCCACCGACGCACCCTGGGCCCCGGCAGGACGGTTCCGGCTAGCGTTCCCCCCGGGGTTACCTCCAGCTCGGGGTAGCTGAGCACCACCAGGGAGGCACACGCGTTGACACTGTCGCCCTTCACAAAGGACACATCCACGCCCCCGACCCTCTGCAGGCCCGAGAAGGCAGGGTCCCGCTGCCACGCCTCCGTGTCCCGGTCCACGACGCGGGCCTTCAGCTGGGCTTGCTCCCTGGGGACAGCACACGTCAGGTGGGCCTCGCGGCCCAGTTCTCCCAGCCCTGCGCGTCCGAGCCCGCGGGCTGGGGCTGCTTCTCGGGACCCTCCCTGTCTCACGCGCCCTGCCCTGGACCTCCTGGCCTCACATCCCCGCCCCCGGGGCCCAAGACTCGGCGCCGGAAGTGAGCGCCGCGACTCCGAGGACTCCAACGTCCCGCAGGCCCTTCCGCCCGCGCGCCGGAAGCGGCCGGGGTTACGGGTCGGGGGGTGCGGGAAGGCGCGTAGTTCAGCCCCACATCTTGCGCGTATCCCACCCGACTACCGTTTCCAGAGCAACAGGGTTTCCTCCGGCGGCCGCCCCGCCGCCTCCCGGGCCATGGCACAGCGTCCGGCGCCTCTGCATCGTCACTTCCGGCGGCGCTGCCGCCGGCGCGCGCTCGTTGCCATGGCGGCGCTCGCTGGGGCGCGGGGCTCCGGGACGCCGCCGCCTGGCGGCCGGAGGCCCTGCCCGGGACTCGAGCGCGTCCGCTCAGCCTGGGCTGCCCCCCGGGCGGACGCCCGCACGCCCGCGGACCCAGGGGCGCCCCAGGCCGGCGTCGGGGCGGCCGTCCCGGAGCGTTGCCCAGCCGGCCCGCAGGCACACGGTGGCCTCCCCCCGGGGCCGGCTCCTCAGCCGCGCTGACACGGGCACCCGGACGGGAGGAGGGCAAACACTCGCGCCGAACCAGCACCAGCACTCGGGGGTCTGCAGCGAGGAAGACCCCAGGCTTCACCACCAGTCTGCGACGAACGGACGGGGGTCTGGGCCGGGCGTAAATGTGGCGACAAAGCCCGCTGACACCGCCGTCGGCCCTGAATTCCTGCTCCGGAGACACGGCGGTCGCCCCACCCTCCGGTCCTGGCGGAGTCCCTTTCTCCTGGGGGACCTGGGGTGAACCGTGGGGGAGCCAGGAGGGCCCTTCCCGCGCCCTTCGCAGGCTCCCGAAGCTGAGGTCGTTCACAGGGGCCGCAGCCCCATCACCCCGCACCCGTTTCCCTCACTGTCCTCACGTTTTCAAGGACAGGACCCAGCCCTTAGTGGGACCACACTCACAGATTTGACAGCATGGGTCTTGGTGGGCAGAAAACTCACCCACCAGACCAAACTGACAACCTTTGGGGCATCGATTCCTACTGGGAGCTCGCCAGCTCATCATCTATTCTGCGCTTGGTGCCAGGTGATGTGCTACATCAGTTTCCCCACGGTGTAGCTGCCATCATGGTGCAGCAGCGAAAATAACAGGGGCCTGCTGTAGACAGTGGTCAGGAAAAGGCTATTCTGGGGGGCGAGTGCACAGGCCGCCTGAAGGTGGTCGACAAGAGCCTTTCAGGCAAAGTAAACAGCAGGTGTAAAGGTCCTGAGATGGGTGTGTTTCAGGCACTGAAGGGCAGCCCTGGAGGCTGAAGTGTAGCGATTTGACCCCTGGTTTATATACAAGGGGAGTTCAGGGAAGTGTTCAGACAAGTAATGCAGTCTTGAGTGTAGATCTCGAGACGAGACTGCGGAAGACTGGGTTGTTTGAGGTTCAGGGGTGGCTTCGTATAGTTTTTGACAGCTGGTGGGCCTTATGAGATAGGCAGTTTCCAGCTGGGAGCAGGGATGAGACCATTTCTTGATCTCCCATTGCGTGCAAGGCCCTGTGCTCAGTTATTTACCTACCTTACTGCTTACAGCACCGAGAGGTACTTTACAGGAGGGGAAACTGAGGCTTAAAGAGGTCAAGTGGCTTGCCCAAGGTCACAGAGCTGGCAAATGGGAGAGCCAAGATTTACACCAAGGCCCACCTGGGCTGTAATGTGTCAGCCTTGTTATGTGACAAAACAGTCGGGCGAAGAGGCCCTTAGATTTGGTGGTGGGGAGTCGTTCCTGGGCCTGTGGAGCTCGGGGCAAAGTTAAGGGGTGCTGGGGGTACAGGCAGTGGTCATGGGGGGAATGCTGGGGCGTGGGGAGCAGTCCTGGTAAGTTTAGGTGTGAAGGGAAGTGGGTTGAAGGCAGGTGTTTAAAGGATGTGGGGTCTTGGAGGCAGCTTGCATGTACTCCAGCCGGGGCCTCCTGCCCTCCATTCCACTCAGCTCGTACCCTGGATGTTTCCTGAGACCCCCACCGCCTCAGTGGTCCTCCTGTCCCCAGCATAGCCTTCCAGTCTGATGAGGTGAATTACAAGCAGCTGCACTTCCCTGGTGCTTGTTTTTCCAGTTGGAAGTAGGACTCCTAATGCTTGAGCACAGGCTTAGTGACCCAACAAGGGATCAGAACCTTAGTACTCTGAACGCTGCCAATGGCTCGGACGTGTTGTCGCTCAGCTCCAGACCTTGGGTTTTCTACCACCTCTGCGACCGAGTCTCTCCGGGCCCAGCTGGTACTGCAGCCTGACCAGCGGCATGGAAATGTTCAGTCAGGTGGAACTGTGCCCACTCGTGTGGCTTGACAGGCAGTGGCACCAGACCAACAGGGCCCTCTGACCTGATGTTTCTTCACTGTTTATCACTGCAAGTTTCTCTCTAGGTTGGGCTTGCCTGCACCCAGGAATAACTGCAGCAGCTCAGGACTGTCCTTGGTCCTATCGCCCATAACAAAATGTGAATAAGTAATTTACACACACACCGAGGCCTTACAGATGTAGTCATCAGGTGTGAAGATTTTCTGGTACGTCCCCACCAACCCAGGACTGAAAGCCTAAGAACTGGTAACGTCCAGAAGAATGAAGGTGAGATCGATGAGTGAACTGGGGCTGCATGGGCAGGTAAGGGCAGGTGCCGAGGGCAGAGACGGACTTGACACCTACACTGGCACTGGGAAGCAGTGGAGCCTGGCATGGGATGGGGTTGCGGGTCCTTGTCAGCCGGCTCGCGTCCTCTGGCCGCAGCTCTGCACCACAGATTTCTCTCCTAGAGGAGCCTTTTCTTTTTGGAAGAGAAAATGCAATTATCCTCTGAAGCAGCATTTTACCGCCCAAACCTCTGGGCTGCTGGAAGCTGGCTCCTCTCACATACCTTAGTTCCTTTTGCTGGGGAACGGTTTCCCCAGCCCACAACCTGTCCCACTGCTGGGGTGGGCGCGTACTCACTGTGAGCTGAGCTCTGCTGGTTGCCGGCAAAGGCACTTTAGGCAGGGAGTGGGCCGCCCCTCTAAGGCTACCACTTTAACTCGTCCAGAGGAAAAGTTACCCTCTCACATTCTATACCAAAGTGTACATTTGCTCTCTGGAACCTTCCATTTCATGGATATTGCTACAAGAACAGTTCAACAAAAAAGAAACATTCCTGAAAGCTTGGTTGATGCCTATTTGCCATACACAGAGGCTCCGCCCCCCAGAGAAAAGGGGTCTTTAGAAGCAAAACTCAAGTTTATTAAAACAGGAATGCCAAGTATAAGAAATCTTCCTTTGCGTGTTAGGCCAATGTGTTCTTGTACAAACCAGGTAAAGCGAGATCTGACAGTTAAGGCTTTGAAAACATAGCATACAAAACAAAGTATCTTCATTAGAAAACTCTTCATAAAAGTGAGGGAAGAAAATTCCCAGACCAAAAAAAAAAAAAAAATCTTTTCACAGCAGGAGATTGACACCTGACCTCCACCTGCTAAGGTGTGGACAGGGAGGGACCAGAGCAGCACCTGATGGCCATGCCCGCTCCATCCCAGCTCTGAGGTATCAGGAGTACCAAGTGCAAGGGGAGACCTAGAACAGGCAATCCGCTGAGTGGGCAATCCTGCATGCCAGGCTCAGTGGGGGAGCGCCTCTGCACAGCCTGGAATGATAGACTCATAATTACCGGACGCAAGTGGGTGCTGCCCTGAATGACTGCTGCGTTGGCCAGGGCCTCGGACCTCGCCTGCATCAACCCGAGGAGAAATCGGAATAAGGAGAAGGGGGTGTGCCTCCTCCAGCTCCCTCCAGTGGTGCTCAAGAGGGCGGCGGTGTTCTTGGGGAGCATTTTCTGGTTTTGTAGCTCTCACGCCACGGGCCCAATTTCAAGTCACTGGCTCATGAACTCCTTTGTTAAGTGCATTAAAGACGGTGCCTCTGACTTGTGAACAGTCTCAGTGCCAGTGGCACCAAGCTAACCAGGAGCAGGAGCCAGCCCGGAGATGAAAGTGCCCAGGCAGTTGAAAAAAAAGACAAAGCCTCTAACAGCGAGAGAAGCAGCATGAGATCGGGCCTTGCTGACTACTCTTTTTCCTTTTTTAAGTGGCGTCGCCATCTGTTTGTAATGCCTTGGCTCAGATCCAAGGACGAGATGACGATCACACGAAGGCCACATGTCAGAGTCTTCCCACGGCGATGGCAGACCCATGCCACCGATTCCAGTCTACATTGATAAACTTCCATTCAGAACTTAAAAATACTAAAAGGAAATCTGGTCATCAATCTGTCCCTTCATTTTATAGATGGAAACTAAGACCCAAAAAGTGCCCCTGACTCGCAGCCCAGTGCTCTTCACGGTGAGAGCTCTGGGGCTCCGGCTCCTGACACCCGGCAGGGACTCCAGGGGCCTGGGCGAGGCCTCGTTCGCATCGCCTCCAGGATCCCGGAGGGCCTTGCCTGGTGTCGGTGGGAAAACAAAAAGCCTGGCACTTTTCACAGCTTCTTGGCAACAAGAAATTTGTGTTCAATATTCGAGTGTACAGGAATGGAAGAAAGAAGCAAGCCAGATTCTCTTCTTTGAATGCAGACTAAGTTGGAAAAATAAAGCAAAAATTACTCGTTTTCCTTCACTCGCTGTGCGGGAGTCTGAGGAAGAAGGGCCTGGTAGGTAGGCACGTGCAAGTTCAGAAGCTCGGCGGCCACACATGACGCTGGAAGCCCGTGGGTACCATGTCCCGGCTGTAAAGGATGGCGGCTTGTGCCAGGTCCGTGTCATCCTCAGTTCTCCCAATGCACAGCGCCCATCACGTGAGGGCACAGTTCTTGAAATGGCTTGGTTCTCCAGAAGCGGTCAGCTGGCACAGCACGTACTGGTCTTGAATTTGGTGCTGGGCGAAGCCCACGCCCCGGGCAGAGGCAGCACCACGTAAACAGTTCTATCTGACTTGCCGATCCCGTTTCAGTTCAGCAGCCATTTTCCATACAGAGACACAGTTGGAGAGTGGTATGTCCTCTGGGAACTGAGACTCCATCTCGGGGAGAATGTCACTGTCTTTGGTTTCCATGTAACTTACTAGAGTGTCTCTCAGGCTGAAAACCAAGGAACAAGAAACAGCATTTACAACAGTTCTCCATACGACATAAGGAGACACATCAGTTATCCCCTTTTTAAGTCATCAACAGGACCAAAGTGTGTTCTTTGAGATCAGAAATACCAAAGGCCGGAGGAACAACCTAAGACAGGCACGGTCGCAGGGGGGCCATCAGGTGAGAAATTGGGGATCAACAGAGGTGGGGCTTAGAACCTCACCCCCCAGTTTTAAGGGAAATCTTCTGCATCCGTGCAGGTTTTGCTGCCCTTGTCTAGCTTGGATTAATACTTAGTC